TTTATGTAAGAGTTAAATAAAACTGAAGTAAAAATTACTGATAAAGATCTTCCTCGTTTCCTTTGTATTGCTGCCATTATTACTGTAAGTTGCATCTTAAATACTAGCCAAACAATTCAGACGCATTTGGGAACTAGTCAAAGTATTTTGTTCTACTGTAAGTTGAGAAATGCATGTCAGCAACCATCCTTCTCATTTAAATTGCCGTAGAGGAGTCATATCATGCCATTTTCTCTGGATCATTTGTGCAATGTCAGGTAAGGCAGGATGTGACTCAACCATGACTTGGTTCAGAAGTAGGACTCTGAAATCTTCTGGTTTCAGTTCACACTGGAATTCTTAGGACTGGCAGTCAAAGGAAAGTGAACCGAGAGAAATTTCGTGATAGCTGCTCTAAACCTTGGTCTTCTACCATGCCTCAATGTATCCCTTCCTCAGAAGACATTAATGCCCCAGTCCTCTGAGGGGGAAAGAAGGATAGGGAAACATGTTTTTCCCTGTTTCTATTCCCTTCTTTTGCCATCTCTGCAGGAGAAATATCTCTTTCCTCCCACTCCAGGCTGTTTAGCATTAGGAAGCAATTGGTCCGTCAGCAGCACCTAGAGCAACTCTTCCCAGCTGGGAGACCATATCTCTTTCTCTTCTGGTGATGGTGGCTTAGAAACCACCTCCTTCTCATGAACCATGCCTTAGCTTCCAGTTGCTTTGACACAAACTCTCATTATATTTTGCCTAAATGACACTCCGGATCTCCTGTGCTCTGAAAGATAGCTTGAGGTCTTACATTTTCACAAAAAACAAACAAACAAACAAACAAAAAACACACTAAGAAACCACAGAGAACCCTGCCTAGAATTCCTAATCTCAGAGCATACGCATGCACACACTCAAGTGCTGACCAAGGACCTGGAGTGCTACAGCTCTAACACATCTGAAAGTTCAATACAAACCTGTAAGATACATGTGTTCACGTACCTTTATATTGGAAAGCCACTTTTTCCTAGTAGTTGAATGAATTCACAGGGTGGTGAAGGTGAATGAATTTCATAGTGCTAAACTTCATAGAACTAAACTGATTCTAGCATGACTTGCATAGGAATAGGACACCAGATATGGCCATGTTTTATTCCTCTGCTATTCGTGGACATAAAAAGCACACATGCCTTAATTCCACTAATCCAAACTGATCTTTCAATGGAATACTTGTCATTAAGAGACAATATTTTTATCCAAAGCAAGCAAGGTGACCCATTTCTATTCCATACATTGTTTTAGCTCAATGGGTCCCTCCCACTGGATTTTCTTAGACTGACATGACTCACAAATCCCTCTGCAAATACAGTTCTCCCATACAAACCTACATGCACAGGTGGACCCCCTAGAAGATACAACAGAACCAAAGCGGGGACAGAATCATCAGAGAGGAGAGAAATACTTGAACAGCTGGAAGATTATAATAACATTTTTGGACAGTTTCCACAAATCTGGCAGGTAAATTAGTCTGATATGAGCACTTCAGTCATGCACAAACAGATGACACATTTGTGTGTGGGCAGAGGATGAAATTGGGTGTGGACTGCGTGCCTCTGCAATGGGTACAGTGATAGGTCTAACTCAGCACCAGCGGCACTGAGTCATCTGTTCAGAACTTAGAGTTCCTCATCATTCCCTTTATGACATGGAAAAATCCTGGCTGGATTGCCTGCAAATTTATCTGCTGTACAGGGCCAAATCTGAGAGAAAGGTCAACAGCACAGTGGGATTTCCACACACTCAGAAAACCTCCCTGAAGTCCACTGGTTCATGCAAAAAGGGATTGTATGCCCTCACTACAACCCTGAGCACTCAGAACGGTTATTTTGTGTCATTCATCCTCTTATAGAATTAATGTTGGTGAAAATAAACAGGCTTTTAAGTATCTTAACGCTCCCTTGAACGATTGAACTCAGAGGCAACTGGAAAAACCCAAGCATCTAACCTAGGGTAGGGAAGTGTGTAAGAAGAAAGCGGTGTCCAACTTTGGGCAACAATCACTACAATCAACAAAGATGCTTACGGTGAGTAAACAGCTCTACATTCTGAAATCATACCCAGCATCAATTTCACATTGTCTTTTGCCTATCTTTTCAATTGGTGAGTTGTCTACATGCCAACAAACACAATGGCATGGTTTCAGACAGGAACTCCCTTATCCTCAAAACAAAAACATGATCGTGGCCAATATTAACAGACTGAGCTAAAGAAAACATCAGGAAATCTTATGAAGTAGCAATATCGCAGAATACCACCATAAGGAAGATAGCTGAAGTTGCATTACTTCTTGTACCATCTGGTATACTATGGTATAAACCTGGTACAAATAAATATTCC